GCCAAATCTATCCTTACATTGTAAAATTTGTTCGTAAATTGGATGAAGACGATTTCAATTGCCGTGTTGAATTTTGTGAAGATATGATGGTACATATAGATGATCCTATCTTTCCATAGCCTGAATAAACATAATTACAAATATTGGTCAGATGAAAATCCTCACTGGATGCGAGAAGATAAATCATAGTATTCGTATAAATTGAATTTTTGGACAGAAATCCTTAACAACTGAATCATCGGACCATTTTTCATTGATGATAACCTGAACAAAAAGTATAAAGCTTTGCTTCGAAACCAAATAATTTCTGTAATTAGAGAGATAGCTGGCGACAATTTCAAAGATATATAGTTTCAGCAGGACGGTACACCAGCTCACTGTGCAAGAGACGTTTGCGCTTACTTAGATGAGGTATTCTTTGATCGGTTGATAGGATGAAGAAGCACAATTGAATGGTTGGCCAAGTCACCTGATTTGACGCCTCTAGATTACTTTTACTGTGGTTATTTGACTGATAGAGTATTTAAAAGAAACTCAGAGATTTAGATGAATTACGACAAAGAATCGTAAATGAATCAGTCTTTTTCCCACTCAAATGATTCAAAATGGTGTTGATGCTTTTTATCATCACTTAGCCTATTGTCAAACGGTAAATGGGGAACAATTCAAGCAGTTAAAATAAAATGCTGTATTGATTAATGCCAGTCATCAAATACGAAAGAGAGGGGATCTATGTAAATCTAGCACTCGGAACGTAAGAGCAAGGAGCCTCATGTAAATGAAGCACCCCGAACGTGAGAGGTGACTCACGTAAATTAAGCACCCCAAAGGGAACAGATTTTACTACGTCCACATGATTGTTCCTGGGTAATGCTAAATGTAAAACTAATGACCTTGAAAGTCATGTATACCCAGCTCATACTTGGATCAAACCTAAAAACCGTAAGTTAATCTTGAACGTCTTCGTTGACCCAAAACTTCAGTACAATGTTAAACGTAAAATTTCACATTCTCTCTATTACCATTTTCAAAACTCGAGGATATGATCCCCATAACACAGGCCTGCAAAATAGAGAGTCGTCACTGTTCTTTTACAACTTACGGTCATTTCCGAAGTAATTTTTGGCGTAGAATTAGAATCCGTCGTCAGAATTGCTTCATCACGTCAGGTTTTTGAGTAATCGTCCCCTAAAGGTCGAAAAAACACGTTTTTTGGCCATATTCAAGGCTTGATTACATCGTGAGTTTATATTCTTTTCAAAAACGATTGACGGCATCTTAAAGACGCACTCTTACCCTTTAAAACCCATTTTTCAAATTTAAGATATCATTTTTTTTCATCAAGATATCATCAATTGAAGTTTGCCATTTTTGAGGTTTCACCATGAGCTTAAAAGTTCGGCCAATTTTCCTGGAAGAATACGATATATTTCTTAGTTTTTTTTTTATAATGATTCTAGTATCATTATCCAAAAAATACTTGGATTTTTTGCAAAACCTTGCAGGCCTGTGTAATCAATGACTCTGTGATCCTATGATCCAACGATCCTATGACCTAAAATCTAAATACATTTTTAATGTAAAATTTCCTGATCTTTCGATTGTCGTTGTCCAAAATAGGGGAATCTATTTAAAAAAAATAAAGTTGACCTTGAAATATCATTGAAGGACATGCTCAAGGTCAACCTCAAAGTCACTAATCGACTCCTCTTCAAAACTTACCCATAGAATGTCTTGACCTTTACAAAATAATAGTTTACTAGGTGAATTTTTTGGGGTGTTTCGTTACTTCTTGAACATCCTGTATATGGATAGCTTAAAAATGAGACCTCAAACGACTTTGTACGTAGCGTCAAATTTTGGACAGTTTAATTGGACCATTTTAATTGAACCATTAGGTTTTCCCTGAAACTATGAGAGATAGCGCAATATTTTTCAAACAAAAGTTGCTCTACTACGACAGGGCCACATTCCCAATACCTTACCTTTGACGTTGCAGGTCACTTTTGTTTTCTTAAACCGGAACCCCTATTTTTGACCTCGGATTCAAAAAAGGCTGATTCACATTTTTATTATATGCAAGAGGCGTAAGGTCCTACATTTTTTTAGTTTAACCATCCATTTTATCCAATAAAAGTAATATTTACTGCATAGTGTCTGATATTTTTACTTTAATTATAAAATACTTTGACATATGTGTACCTTTAATTGTATGGTTTGGCATATCGAATCTTTTCATTTCCACAAAACAAATATTATTTTTTGCTTAGTTTATTCGCTTAAGTCACTGAATAACGATTTTGTGTTCATTGAAGCGAATTTTTTTATTACAATTTTTATTAAAAATTAAATCAAAAGCCTTTTGTTTCGGAGTATACCGAATTATTCTGTATGCGAACATATCAACATGATTACGATTTTTGTTCTAGCCCGAGGAAGTTATCGTAGAGTTGCAAGATTTTATGATGAACATTTTCCGTATGGAAGACACCCTAATCGTAAGGGTTCATGTGACAGGTTAACAAAAACATTTAGTTCGTACGCTAAGACATTATACTTACAATGAGAATGACGTTCGCATGATTGTGATATTGGCAATTATTCATGGGAATCCTCATATTAATAGTATACAGATCTAAAGAGATACTGGAATACCAAAACAATCTGTCTTTAGAATTTTGAGAAAACAAAAATTCCGACCATACGGGTATATCACTCTCACTCTAGCCATCACACCAGATGACATGAAAAGACGACTGTAGTTTTGTTGTTAAGCAAGACAAATGATTCAAAATAACAAGGCTTTTTTCCATAATGTTCTCTGACGAAGCTACATTCAAAAATGATAGGGAGCACAACAGGCTCAACTGTCATTACTAATCATTTGCAAATCCTCATTGGCATCGATAAGTAGATCATCTACATCATTGTGGCATCAATTGGACCTTATTTTTTCGAAGAAAATGTCAATGCAGAAAACTTTTCTCAATTTTTATAAAATAAACTAGATAGACTACTGCAAGAAGTTGATCTCCAAACAAGACTGAGAATGTGAATACAGTTAAATGGAGCTACTCCATATTTCCACAGAAATATTAGAGCTTCAATGGTAGATGGATCTGTCACGGTGGACCAGTGATTCAACCGCAATCTTCCGATTTCACATTTCCTGATTTGTTTTGAATTTTACTTAGTTAAATCCACTGAGAGTTCGCGAAAGATCAATAAAGAGGAGGAAGTAGGGTTAGTGCTATAAATTGACAAGGGTACTTTAATTTCTATTATATTTAGAAATTTAATTAACGTATGATAAATGAACAACGCCGACGCTCGTCAAGGGCATAAAAAACTCTAGTCATAAGTAAGGAAAAAGCCCAAGGCGAACGTTAAAACAATATATATGAAAAAACTATAATATAATTAATCACAAACCTTAATACATTTACACACGGCGCAACACATTCACACACATATTGACGAAACGCAGAGAGCTCTCGGATGATGTGCGCAGATACTACGATGCTACAGCGAATGTGGAAGAGCGCACCACTATGGTGACCACCTAAGGCGACCTCGACGTCTCGAGGACGGGGACAGCCCTCGCCGCCACGTGGAATTTTGGCACAGCAGCCGCGTGGAGGTAACGCTCTCGGGGACGCGCTAGGGCGTGACCCACTATACAGCCGCGTACTCCTGAGTCCAAAGCTTCACGGGCTCGCACTACACACACTCGTTCTAACACTCAACGAAGTATTAACGCACTGCACTGATCAAAGTGAACGCAGCTAGGGTAAGACAAGAGAAGAAACTGAGCCAAAACTTAACAATGCAGGACTGCGAAGCGACTCTCTCGCTATTTATCGACAAACTAACTGGCTGCGCCCTGTCAGAGAACGATGATTAGCTCTCTTTCTTTGTCGCCAAAAAAATTAAGGGAAAGTTTCGGGTGTTTGGGTCAGTCGAACCGCGCCAGACGTTATCGGCTTGCCATCGCAGAATGCTGCATCTGCTCGACACGTGTGGGCACCACGCCTGTACCCTTTTTGCCGAGTTTGTCTCGTGGTTAGATTTCAGAGATTAGTGCTCGTCGACCACACGGCACTTTCTTATTTACAAATTACCAATATAATGAGGTAAAGGAGAAACACTGCGTCTCTGAACATGATTTTTACTTATAGGAATACTTAAAGAAACTCGTTTATCAAGAGCAACCAACAACTCGAGAAGACATGATGTATAGTATCAAGATCGCATGACAGAACATACCTTAGGATGTACTACTTAGGACAGAAAATAACTTTCATCAGATAATCGAACTATGCATTCCAGAAGATGAAAATGTTTTTGAACACTTACTGTATTTCTCATGTAATTAACAATTCATTAATATAGTAAATAAATGTAATAATATAATAAATAAATCTAAAATACTTTATTTCCTTATCTTCTTCATTTATGACCTTGACTAAATCTTTTCGAATCCGGGGTAAAAAATGGGGGTTGCCATTTTAGAAAATAAAGTAGACCTTCAAATGACCTTGAACGTGACCTCCAAGGTCAAAGATAAGGTCATAAGGATTTGACCCCCTCAAAATTAGGATTTAAGAATTAAGATAATTAATTATACGTAGTTGACTATGTTTTGATCGAAACTTGTTGATTGAAAAACTATTTATCGATATTATTGTAAAACTAGCTTTATAGAAACATGTAAAAGAAACAAGTGAAAGTTACCGAGCAAGCGTATTAATACCTGCCGTATAGTATCCTATCTGAAGCCGAACTCATCTTACCGACATTTATTAAAAGCCAATAAACAACAATATACATAATTTTTTCTGTATTGAATCTCGAAAATCGGACTAATTTAACCAGACATTAATTAACTGAGGCAGGTTAAATCAATCAGAAAACGGGGCCAAGTTCAATCATTTCAAACATAAAATTATTTTAAAAGTTATTAATAATTAACCACACCAATAATTTTTGTTATGTTATAGGAAATACTACGTGAGATAGTAAATTCAGTCAATCAAAAAACAATAAGCTTATCTCTAGATCAATAAGGAAAGTGCTAAGAAACTGGACCATGGAAGTAAACGAGGATCGAGTTACGGTAATAGCGGCTCGTCAAGCAACCCGTGTATTTAAAAAATCTAGCGCTAATGGTAAAATCACAGTGTATCTTGGCAAACGCGATTTTGTTGACCATATAAGTCATGTTGATCCTATCGATGGTGTAGTATTGATCGATCCAGATTACGTGAAAGAACGCAAAGTTTTTGGTCATGTACTCGCTGCCTTCAAATACGGCCGCGAGGACCTGGATGTACTTGGTCTTACTTTTCGGAAGGATTTATATTTAGCAGCCAAACAAATCTATCCAGTGCAACAGCAATATGGTGGTGGCGCGCAAGGAAGTCATGAACTAACTCGATTGCAAGAGCGCTTGATTAAAAAACTCGGCGACAATGCCTATCCTTTTTATTTTGAATTGCCTCCTCACTGTCCAGCATCAGTCACACTGCAACCAGCCCCAGGTGACACAGGCAAGCCTTGTGGTGTTGATTACGAACTTAAGGCTTTCGTCGGGGAAAACCAAGATGACAAACCTCATAAGCGTAACAGTGTTCGTCTAGCTATTCGTAAAATTATGTATGCGCCATCCAAGCAGGGTGAGCAGCCTTCTACTGAGGTTAGCAAAGACTTTATGATGTCGCCAAGTAAGCTGCACCTTGAAGCTTCTCTTGACAAAGAGCTGTACCATCATGGTGAAAATATAGCTGTTAATGTACACATTGCTAACAATAGTAATCGTAGCGTTAAAAAAATCAAGGTTTCAGTACGGCAATTTGCTGATATTTGCCTATTTTCCACCGCTCAGTATAAATGCACCGTTGCTGAAATCGAAAGCGAGTAAGTATTACCAGTATAATTTTATCCGATTACGGTCATAGGAAACAACTTTCAATGGGCATACTTAGAAAAGGAAGCTTTTTATTAAAATACTTTTCAAATGTTATAAATTAATTTCAATCGACTGAATTTAAATCAATACCACAACATGTTCGTAGAAATTAAATGATTGTAATACTTTGTAATTATACCAAAACGAAAACTGAATTGAGTACTAAAACTTCAACGTCTTCAATTGTTACTATTTATGCAATAATTTAACTTACTATGAATTATTTTGTAAACGAAATAAAGAAAACATATAGAAACTAATAAGTAGATTAAAACTAGATGCATTATTTAAATTTGTAAAGGTTTATTTTTCGAGTGTTGATGAAATCAAAACTCATGAGTATGTTGATTTACAGTAATTGATCTTTTAAAAGATTATTTTTTTATTTTATTATTCAGTACAACTTCTATTATTCAGTACGACTTGTTAAATTATATTGAAAAAATGTAATAAAAAATATCAGTCGTTGAATGGATTTGATAACAACAAATTATATTTTTCCACTATGGAAGATACTATTAATTTCTAAAATTCTTTATGAATTTAAACATATGAAGTTAAAACTAATTGAAGAATTATTATGTGTATTAATATCATTATTTTTATTAAATTGACATACTAACTAATTATTATTTTCAATAGTCTTAGCTAACGTATTATTGAATAGTTTATCTTTTTGTTCATCACATAATTTTAAATTTAATGTTTATTTGATTAATTTTACAATTTAAAAAAAATAATATTATTTACGTAAGCTCTAGACTATTTCAATAGTATTTTAGTTATGAGTGTTCATTTGTGCCCATTTCGTCCTACTTGGTTGAATAATGCAAACAGTGTTATTCATTGAATTATTTATTGTTAAAAAAGCACTTGTATTAATAATGCCCATTGATTTTCGTTATCTTCTATATACAGGTCTAGGAACTGTGGTTTAAATGGAGTTATACTTATTTTAAATTAGCGCAGATCTCAAATCGAACGCTTGACAAAAATATTGAATTTGAATTGATTTTTTAGTGATGTAAAGCTCCCGAGGATCGAAAATCCTTCAAGAGCTTATATTTGCATTTGAACAATAGATGTAGTGAAGCAGTTCTTCTTTCAGAAAGTTTGTAATGCTTGATGCAATTTTTTTACAAATTTGAACATCCACTATTACCAAAGGGTCTGGATCTGTATGTACGACCGTGTACTTATTCAGTATTCTTTTTCAAATAAACTAATTTATATATATATATATATATATAAAATTTATAATCTTTTCTACGTATTTTATTATAATTTGATCATCATGTAGAACAATAAGATATTAAATTATGTTTTACAATATGAACTATATAACAATTCAATACATTTAAAAGCTAAATCTTCAAACTTTCGATACGTTAAAATGACCATACATTGAAAATTTGTCAGTAATTCAATGATAACATTATTTAAAGCTTTTATGAGCTTGTTTCAAATCCGATCTAACATTCGAGGAATACTTCACACTAGTTAATATTTCGTACATAAAATTTAATTATAACTTTTAGATAATTTATTATGATTACTTCAACACCAACAGCAATCAAACTAAAGTATTAAAGAAATAAAAATCAAATAAAATTATCAATATTTACTTTCTCGCACCTAGTGGACTAATTGCTGAGTAATTAAATGAAATCACTTCTATATCAAAGTGTCTATTGTTAAAGTATTGCCAAAGACTGAGTCTATTATAATGATTGAGTTTTTTTATCTATTTCCTCATGTCAAGGTGTAATAAATACAAAAAAAAGAAGTTGAAAAAGTTATAAAAATATTAAGTCTCATAATATCATACCACACGTTTATACATTTTATCTGTATTTCAAAATATGGCTTATAATTTTGAAGGAAGATGATTTCTATCATCCGCGGTCGTCCACATAAATCATTTAAAAACTGGTTTCAGGAAGCGCGGATGCTTTCACATTTAGATAACATATCATTAGTGTGTACTAATCGCTGGCGAAACTAACATCAGGATAAGAATCGATAACAGGTCGAAATAAGGCGACACTCGCTTAATTGAACAGCGCTTTATTTGCAGAATATTTATACACATAAGTATTACAAGTGACGTCATTCAATATAAATTGAATACAAACTGATGGTACGAAACATACAGCGCGTGCAAAATAGGTTATCGACAACACGCATTGTAATCTTTCCTCGTTAATTCACTGAAATGTAACCAACTGTTAGAAAATTCCTACAATATCATTAGTTTTTGAAAGTACTCAGTGTGGAAGTTGTATATATTTACTTATACAGGATGGAGAAAAGATGGAAATGCGTGAAAATTTTTTAGAAAAAGTAGACTTTTGTAAACTTCCATATTGTTTCTTTAGAAATTCTTTCGAATGCAGTATTGGTATTTTGGTCCAAATTTAGATTCCAACTTGAATATTTTTAATATAAATTCTTACTTATTATTGCAGATAATAACTCTACGGGACATTTAACGTTTGCATATGTTACGTAATATTGAAATAATTAATTTTTCGGGCCTGAAAATGGGCCTAAATTATTGAAAACTATGTACTTCCTGAAATGTTGCAAGTTTTATAAATATTAGTACTGTTTCTTTTGTCATTTGTTCCGTATTTCCGAATGGAGTTCTCAGGTTTTGAATCTAATGCTAAATATGGCTCTAAGTTGGACCATACATGAAAATTTCTGTCAAAAACTCCTATTTTTTATTTCAGAGTTTAATTCTATGTGAAATTCTACGTCAGAATATTATGTAATATTGAAATATTAATTTTCCGAGCCTGAAAAATATATTTAAAATGACGATCATATCGACATGTTAAACATATTCATGGAAAAACCAAATATTTTTTTGTTAAATAAGGTACAATATTTTGTCAATTTATTTAAAGAAAAACTACTTCATTTGAAATAATAAAAAATGTTGGCTCATTACAAATTTTAACTGCAAATATTCTAAACTGTCATACTCTAGAAAAATCTATTGAGATTTTCTTAAAAATTTTATTACAATTTTGTACAATCCATAATTTTGCTCTACAGGGCAGTTCTGAATGAAAATTAAGTTTGAAATTCAATCGAGTAAATTTGGTGAGGAAATTATTTTTTCTTATAAAAAAACCAATCAATAACTAATTTTTTGCTGATTTTTATCGCAACCAAAAATCTTTATATAACACTACTATTAAGAGAATGAATATTTACGTTTAATTTATTCATAATATTTCGATCTCAGTATTCGTTACTCATGTTAATCTTGCATCAAACCTTCTCAGCATAACCAAAAACTTTATTATACAGATGAGGTGATAAATAAATAGGGAGCATAGTGGGAGCGCGACGCACTCGGTAGAGCTCTGAGATTTTTCGATAATTGTTAGGATAATAGTGTAGTGAACGCTAAGAAAAGTATACAAATTGATCGGAAAGGAGCGAGAAACAATCGGTGACAAGTTAAACCGACGAAAATAGATTAAAAAGGGCATAAACCGTTAGCTTGAACGAAAGGCATAATTCTGAAGTTAGAATGCCGGAAGTCGTGGGCAAACCAAAAGACCTGATCCCAACAGAGGTAAACCAACAACAAAAAATGAAGAGAGAGAGGCTGAGAAAAATATCAAAGACGAGAGCGCTGATAGAAAAAATGGGAGATATAAGACCGTTTATAATGACGAATGAAAAAAGCGAAAGCGATGGATTTAGGAACAGTGAAAAATTAACAAAAACACCGACGACGAGAAAAGGAACCACATCAGAGTGAGCCATAGAAAACGAGGATAAGGAGCAAGGAAAAAAGAGCATTAGGGATGTTGAAAGTGACGCGAGTGATCTTAAGCAAGAGGAAGAGAGTCAGTGTGAATTGGTCCGGAGAACGAACATGAGGTGAGAGATAGACGAGAGGACTCATGCAATGAGGGAGACATTTCCACGGAGCAATTGGTAGTGCAGGGACCGCACCTAACTGATGGCAAAATAGAAAGCATCATAAGACAAACAGAGGTAGCAAACAAAGAAGAAGAGAGGAATTACAAGGGAGAAAAGATGATAGAAATTATAGAAGGGTGCAAAATAGCACTGAAGCAGAATCATGACCAAAGCAATGCGCTATGCATTATAATTAAAAATTTACAGGAAAGGCTAGAGCAAGAGAAAAGGAACGACGAGCAACTGACGAAGACAATCAAAAAGCATATCGCAGATAGGTACGAGCAAGAAAGGTACGACGTAAAAACTAGTTTGGAAGAGCTGGAAGAGAAATTTAGCAAAATAGAGAAATAAAATGAAGAGTTAAGAGCAAAAATCGATAGGATGGAAAAGGCAGGAAAAACTATTGCAGACGACGAATACAGTGAGGGCAAGAAGACTGGGGACGAAGTACAAGTAAGAACAATAGAAAACGAAGAAATGGACGCGAGCGGACAGGATAATCACGGGGACGAAGTTACTATTGAAGGGAGCCAGGAAAAGAGATCGAATACACTAGCCAAAGGTGAATATGAATACGAATTAAGGGAAAGAAAAGCCCGGTAAACTAATATATTTATGAAAAGAGTGAGAACCTGCAGAAATGCACTGAGGGAAGAAATGTTGAAGCTATTCTACAACGCCAGAGGCGAAAGAGTAGGAATAAGAAAAATAACGCCACTCAACGGAGGAATTATAATAACACTAAGTAGCCTGCAAAATAAAATGAAAATCATAGAATACAAAACAGTCTTTAAAGATATGAGAATATGGATGGAAGAAGAGCGAACACACAGAGAACTAGAAGTACAGGAATGGATAAATGCAATAGCACGAAGAGAGCAAAAAAAAGGAAAAGGAGCGCGCGCAGGATATCTAAAATATGAATCGAGGATATGAAACGAGAGGCAAGGTAACTTACAAGTAGTGCAACCAGGACAAAGGATGTTTTTTAGGCAGGACC